GTGGTTTTCCCGGCACTGGAGGCGTGCTGCTGGTGCTGGAGGTTCTTCGGCTTCTAAGGGTGCTGCTGTCGCGGGTCCCGGAGGTGCTCGTACTGGGAGTACTGGAGCTGCTGGGCCTGCGGGTTCGACTGGAGCTGGTGCTGCTGAGGGTGTTGGAGCTGAGACTACTGCTGGCGGTCCTGCTGTGGGTACTCCTGGTACTACTGGAGGCTCTGGCGCTGCTGGTGGTGCAGCTGGAGCGGGTGCTTTTACTGGGGGTACTGGTGCTGTACCTATTGTGTCTGGCGTCGCCGCGCGACCTCGACCATACTTCGTTCCACTCCTGCAGCAGGTTCTTGGTCTCCCGCCTTCTACTGGTCCCCCTCCTTCTTTAGAGTGTCCACAGCCAGTCCCGTCACAGTTAGAGTTGCAGCCTACCTCCCCTTTGCCTGCTCCTTCTCCCTACACTGGTCCTACTGGAGGTCTTACTGAGCGTCGTGAGCCTCCGTCTCGCCCTGCGTAGCCTGTCCGTGCTGCTCGCGCTAGTGGTCGTGGTTCGCGTCAGCGTCCTCCTCCTGTCCCTGGCACACACAGGATGTCTCTGCGTCCGTCCACTGCTCCTCTGCGTGCCCCTTTGCCTTCTCCTCCTGAGTATTCTCTTCCTTCACTTCCCGACCCGGAGTCGGACTCTCTTCGTGCTGCCAGTCCTACTGTCACGCGTCTCCTGGCTACTGTCATCACTGACCCTTCTTTCGAGTCCACTGCTGCGTCTGCCCTAGTTGCTGAGCTCGTCGACTTTGCTGCTCGCTGTCGCCTAGACTACGCTGCTAGTCTTGTCACTGAGTCTGAGTCTGTCTGTCCTCCGTCTGTCGGGGGTGAGTGTGCCCTTGGCACGGACGTCCTTGAGGACAGGCAGGAGGAGTTCCAGTGCTTGGCCGCTGTTTCACCTCATCTCGTGTCCGTACTGCTTACCCCTGAGGAAGACCCGGATGCACTTGACATCCCGACTCCGCGCTCTTACGCGGAGGCGATAGAGGGTCCCTACTCTTCTCATTGGCAGGCAGCTATGGATGCAGAGATGGCTTCCTGGAAGTCCACAGGCACCTACGTTGACGCTGTCCCCCCTCCTGGGGCGAACATCGTCAGTGGCATGTGGATCTTCAGGGTGAAGCGGCCGCCGGGTTCTCCGCCTGTCTTCAAGGCGCGTTACGTGGCTCGTGGCTTCAGTCAGCGGCGGGGAGTTGACTACTTTCAGACCTTCTCTCCCACCCCGAAGATGACCACTCTTCGGGTACTGCTGCACGTTGCTGCTCACCGTAACTACGAGCTGCACTCTCCCGACTTCAGCACAGCTTTCTTGCAAGGCAGCCTGCACGAGGAGATCTGGCTGCGCCGCCCACCTGGCTTCACTGGGTCTTTCCCTCCTAGTACCCAGTGGAGTCTCCGGCGTCCAGTCTACAGTCTCGGCCAGGCGCCACGTAAGTGGCACGACACACTGAGGACTACGCTTGCGGCTCTTGGGTTTGCTCCTTCTACTGCCGACCCGTCGCTGTTTCTGCGCACCGACACTTCTCTGCAGCCGTTCTACATCCTCGTGAATGTCGACGACTTGGTCTTTGCCACATCTGACACTGCTGGACTCGCCTACGTGAAGTCCGAGCTGCAGAAGAGACACACGTGCACAGACCTGGGTAAACTGCGCAGCTACCTTGGCTTGCAGATCACCCGGGACAGAGCACGCTGCACCCTTACCCTGACTCAGTCACACATGGTGCAGCAGGTCCTTCAGCGCTTTGGCTTCACGTACTCCTCGCCTCAGGCCACTCCTCTGCCTACTCGCCACTCGCTCTCAGCTCTGCCTTCGGATGAGTCCGTAGAGTCGAGTGGCCCGTATCCAGAGCTTGTTGGCTGCCTCATGTACCTGATGACCTGCACACGACCTGACCTTGCATACCCTCTTAGCATTCTCGCACGCTATGTTGCTCCTGGGAGACACAGACCAGAGCACATGGCTGCAGGGAAGAGGGTGTTGCGCTACTTGTGCAGTACGTCGGGCATGGGACTAGTGCTTGGAGGGCGGAGTCCAGTGGTCCTCACTGGGCACGCGGACGCTTCTTGGGCTGACGACCAGGCTACGCAGCGGTCGTCACAGGGTTACACCTTCAGCCTTGGTTCTGGCTCTGTTTTGTGGCGGGCTACTCGCTCGTCTTCTGTTCTCAGCTCCAGTTGTGAGGCTGAGATCTACGCCGGGGCCATGGCTGCACAGGAGCTTCGCTGGCTCACCTACCTGCTGACCGACCTTGGAGAGTCGCCTCGTTCTCCTCCAGTCCTGTACGTAGACAACAAGGCCATGCTGGCCTTGTGTAGAGAGCAGAGACTGGAGCACAGAACAAAGCACATTGCTCTCCGCTACTTCCTTGCTCGTGAGCTGCAGCAGCGTGGTCAGTTGCGGCTTGCGTACGTGGCCTCTGAGGCCAACACTGTTGATGTCTTCACCAAGGCACTTGCGCCTTGTGATCATCAGCGCTTCTGCACCCAGCTGGGTCTTGTACCTGTCTTGCCTCACTTGCTCACCTCTTGACCTTGCTTGTACTGTTACATATATCTATACCTGCTCTTGCTTGTCTAGTCTTATATATATATGTACTCCTGCATGTGAACTGGCCTTGTGGCCTTGAACTTGTGCTCGGAATGTGTGGTGACTTTGTGATCCACCCTGAGCTTGCTTTGCTTTGCTTTGTTTGACTGGTCTTGTGACCCCTTGTTCTCCCCCACTTTGCCTATGGGGGTGTGTCAGAACATATAGCTTGTGCTCATTGTGTAGGCTATAGTGGGGTAGCCCATAAGGGGTACAACCCAATTAGGATTAGTATTTGTACTCAGTTCATTCATAGTTCATTCATCCTCGTTTCAATTTTTCTCACTATCACCCGCAGGACTACAACTGTACTAGCAGCAACTGGGATGCCTGCTGTTCGCCTCTGTCACATGCCGACCCGACCTTTCGTACATCGCCAGCCAACTGGCACAGTTCTTCCGCAAGCCAGTGGCAGAGATCCAGCTCGATTTGGAGCGCGCCCTGCAGTACTTCATTTCCACACCTGACATCGGGCTCTCCTACTCCACGCTGACGACAACCTCCTTCAACCTCAACGGCTACGTGGACGCAGATCACGCCGCTGATCCTGCGGATCGACGGTCACGAACCGGCTTTGTCTTCCGACTGGAGCCAAAAGGACCAATCTCCTGGAACTCGCAGAAGCAGGAGCTGGTTGCCCTGTCATCGACTGAAGCAGAATACATCGCCGTGACAGCAGCAATTTGCGAAGGTCTGTACCTGCAGGAGCTGCTGCAGGAAGCGAAAATCCCAACTTCGCCTTCACTGCGACAACCAAAGCGCCATCAAGATCGCGAACAAACAAGGGTTTGTGAACTGCATGAAGCACATTGCGCTTCGATATTTTTTCGTCAAGGACGAAATTGACCAGGGCAAAGTTGACCTCGCGTACTGCCCCACCACCAAGATGGCAGCTGACTTCCTCACCAAGCGACTGCCATGTCAGCAGTACAAGCACCGCTCCAACCTCACCGGAGTAGTCAAGCGGGTCAGCCCCTTGCGCGCCCAGGAATGAAGGGGGGTGTTACGATATGAAACTTTATGAGAAGGCATTCCTGTATGCTGCAGGAGCCGACCCTACCAAGTATGAAGTCGAGGAGTCAGAAGAGTCGAAGCGACGCTAGTAACTGCGATACATGCAGAAACATCTGAAGTGAAAAGAGCAGGAACATGTTTGAAACAGGTTCCCGCGCCGCACGGTTTGAACTTCGTTGTAATGAGGGAATGTACCCCTTAGATTACATGGCTAGTCTAGGTCGTTTCGTATTCCTTGTATTTCCTATATAAATTCGATGTATGCATGCTATTATCAGTCTCAGTCATTTACATTCACTCTGGCCTGAGGTCAATACTTCGGCTGCAACACTACCATGCAATCAACACTGAGTGATCCTTCGCTAAGTCCCACTTGGGATTGTAACAACACTAGAGGAAAGAATGTAATATGACCAGATGGACTTCAACTTTTGTTGCTTTGTGCACAACCCAATTTGTGTGGATGCTTTATGTAATGGGGTATACAGATGTACAACATTCTTGTAAGTGTAGACGATTTACACAACCTAGTGCTGGAACTCCCTGCGATGCAATCTTCCTTTTTTCACCTAGGGAACTTGCTGGTGCGCGCTGCAGGTGAATGAAATAGCTCTTCTCCTCAAACAACGTAGTAGTGAAAGCTAAAACACGAAGCAACGCGTCGATTCTAGTCTGCTGCCATGGATGCTGAAGACTACAATGCGCTTCCTAACCAGTCACTTGAGGCTGGCTGTCAAATGGATTCCTTCTTAGAGACAGACGCGGATGTTTCTTGCATCGACGCTGAGTCTTCAGTCTTTTCGGCAAAAATCCCTATATCAGGTTTGTTCACGTAGCATGGTTCGCGGAGTTTAAGCTCGACGGCTGTAATCTAACAGTCGTCGTTCCGTATTGCAGTTGAAGTTTGCCTCAAAGCAGATTCAGAAGCCTCTTTTAGCGACGTCCGTGCATCAATCTACAGGTCAATTTCACCTGATCATATCTTGCATTCTCTGTTGGCTTTTGATGTGACTGATAGAGCTTTTTCCAAAGTGCAGGTTGCTCGCAAATAGGCATCAAGTCTTTGCTAATGGACCTCTTGTTCTCAATTCGGGCGAAGAGCCTTTCATTGATGACAACGTAGCTTCAATTCACTTTGTCGACATCGGTAAGTAAGAATTGTCATAAACTGCCTCACTTAGCAGTTACTGCTGTCCTTACGAGCATGTTCATTGCAGATGAGCAAACTATTGCGAATCAGGTTATTCTCTTCTGGCAAGTTGATCTTCAGATCAGCATCTTCAAGGTCTGATTTCCCAAGGAATTATATATATATAAAAAAAAAAATGGCGTGACCTACGAAATGAAATACAATCTGAAATGTGAGCAGTTGTGTCGAGGAGGCGCTGTTGAAGACACGGAACAAGAGCAAGAGGTTGCCTCGTTTGGATCTTGGAATCTTCCGTCAGAGGATTTCCATGGTCTTTGGGAAAGGTACATTCGAAATTATTCATTTGCTCGTACAAGAGTTGCTGGAGATCAGTCAGTTGTATCGTTCTGACTGCTTTCTTGTTTCCAGTCTGGTCTATGATTCAGGAATCAAGCACCGACTTCTTCGATATGCTGCAAGTGCACTTCTGTTTTCAGAGAAAGGCGTAAACTGTCAGCTTGTTTCTTGGAACAGGTAAACGGACGCAGCCAGATTGTTTGTGATGCGTTGATATGCTTACTGACCCATTTCAACTTTCAGGGTGGTTTTGTTGTTCGGACCACCTGGTACAGGAAAAACATCTCTGTGGTAAGCATTTCTATGTACCGCTTTCTGCATTTTGGTCTTTGGGGGCCTTGAATCCGTACAGATCATTCTTCTTAGTCCAAACACTCTCCACCACTTCCCTCCTGTTATCTTGTTGCTTTTGCATTCAGTAAGGCACTGGCCCAAAAGCTATCTATACGTTTCAAAGAAAGGTGACTATATTGCTTCCTGTCACTGCTCGATCAAATGCAATGTTTGAATGTTAACACCAGTCTACAGGTATCAGACAGCCCATCTTATCGAAGTGAATGCGCACTCTCTCTTCAGCAAATGGTTCTCCGAAAGTGCAAAGCTTGTAAGTTCTAGGTTGGCGATAGTAATGCCAGCCGAGAACAAGGTCTCATATGTCTATTCTGTGTTGCGTTGCAGGTGAGCAAGCTGTTCAGTCACATCCAGTCTTTTGTGGAGGATAGAAGTTCGTTGGTGTTCGTACTTATTGGTACGTGAGGGTATCCAATTTCCATTCCACTTCCTATGTGCACCATGAGGTGCTTACTAAAGTTGTGCCTTGGTCAGACGAAGTTGAGAGCCTAGCTGCGGCACGTCAGGCTGCTCTAAATGGCTCAGATCCTTCGGATGCTATAAGGGTATGTTGACCTGTGACCTGTCAGGGCCTTGATATGAGTGCGTGTTAATACCCCCATGTGCATGCGTGCAGGTCGTGAATGCATTGTTGACTCAGCTTGATAAACTGAAGCAGCATCCCAACGTCATGGTTCTAACGACTTCGAATTTGACACATGCCATTGGTCTGTCCTGGCTCATTTGTGTAAAGTTCATTCTCTGTTCTTCAAGGTCTATGAAATGGCGCCCTTTCTCTTTTTTCAGATCTGGCGTTCATTGACCGAGCTGACATCAAAGCCTTTATTGGACCACCGTCACTGCAAGGGCGTTATAATATGCTGCATTCGAGCTTCTGCGAGCTTCAACGAGTTGGGATTGTTGAAGAGGTGGAGGTACGAGTTGCCCTCGTGTTATTTGTGGTTCTGCAATCTCAGTTTTCTCTGAATTTCCTTGTGAGCTGATTCCTGTTATGAGTGACAGGGCAACACTGTCTATCCGTCCACTTACAACGAATTGATGCTGAGCGATTGTGAAGACATGGGGAGTAGTAAGGGTGTCCACTTAGGGAAGAAGCTTCTCGAGGTCGCCAAGGCGTGTGAGGTACGTTTTCAAAGTCGCCAAGAGTGGCTGTTTGGAGTAGTGTCCGTGTCGTGTTAAACTTGATCATCCTTGCAGGGGCTTAGCGGGCGAATTCTAAGAAAACTTCCTTTCCTCGCCCATGCTACAAGCAACATACCTGGTGCTTGCTCAGCTGACAGCTTCATTGACAAGCTGCAGTCAGCAGTGCAGAAGGAGCTGGAAGACAGGAACAACATGGCCGCGAGGTAGCAAAATTATACTGATTGTTATGCATCACCGTTCCAAGTTGGTGGTTTCATATTTTATGAGGTCCATATTTACGAGAGTCGTATATCAGAACTCTTTCTGCTGGAAAAACTGCAGACGTGAAAATTGCTGGTTGGGAGGGAAAAAGGCCAGAGAAGGAATATAAAACTTGCATTCATACACCAGAAGGATGCTGATAGTCACTCTCAGTGAGAGCAGCATTAGAAAGCTAATATCTACGTGCATCTTTTGCCTCAAGTACCGTAAGTTACCGACCCACTCCACCATCGGCTCCTCCTTCCATCCCACGATCTCTGTTTCACAGTCGTACCTTCCACCAACTCTGCTCTTCATCCCATCCCACCATCTTCGCTCCTCGTCCCATCCCACGATTGCTGCTCCTCATCTCATCTCACCATCTCTGCACCTCATTCTGTCCCACCATCTCTGCTCCTCATCCCATCCCATCCCACCATTTCTTTCCCGCATCCCATCCCACCCACCATCTCCATTCACAATCCCATCACACCATCTCTATTCACCATCCCATCACACCATCTCTATTCACCATCCCATCACACCATCTCTGCTCCTCAGCCCATCCCACCACTGCTCCTCAGCCCATCCCACCACTGCTCCTCAGCCCATCCCGCTGCCTTTGCTCCTCATCCCGTCCACCATCTCTGCTCCTCATCCCATCCCACCATCTCTCTAATCATCCCATCTCAAAACCTCAGCTCCTCATCCCATCCCATCCCACCGTCATTTCATTATCCCATCACACTATCTCTGCTGCTCATCTTATCCCATCATATTTGCTCCTCATCCCATCCTATCATCTCTGCTCCTTATCCCATCACACCATTCCTTCTCATCCCATTTTCACCATCTTTTCTCCTCATCACATCCCATTATTTCGCGTCCTCATCCCGTCCTACTATCTCAGCTCATCATCCCATCCCACCATCTCTGCCGCTCATTCTATCCCTCCATTTTTGGTCCTCATCCCATCCCACCATCTCTGCTGCTCATCCCATCCCATCATCTGCTCCTCATCCCATCAAACCATCTCTGCCCCTCATCCCATCACACCGTCTCTTCTCATCCCATTTTCACCATCTTTTCTCCTCATCCATCACACCGTCTCTTCTCATCCCATTTTCACCATCTTTTCTCCTCATCCCATCCCACCGTCTCCGCTCCTCATCTCATCCCACCATTCTCATCCCATTTTCTCCGCCTTTTCTCCTCATCCCATCCCGCTTTTCCGCCTTCTCATCCCATCCCACCATCTCTGCTCCGCATCCCATCACACCGTCTCTTCTCAGCCCATTTTCGCCATCTTTTCTCCTCATCCCATACCACTATGTCGCCTCTTCATCCCATCCCACCATCCCTGCTCATTATCCCATTCGACTATTCCGCCTCCTCATCCCATCCCACCATCTCTGCCTCTCATCCCATCCCACCATCTCTCAAAACATCCCATCCCACCATCTCTCAAAACATCCCATCCCACAACCTCAGCTCCTCATCCCATCCCATTTCACCTTCTCTTTTCATTATCCCAGCCCACTATCTCTCCTGCTCATCTTATCCCATCATATCTGCTCCTCATCCCATCACACCATCGCTTCTCATCCCATTTCCACTGTCCTTTCTCCTCATCCCATCCCATCTGACCATCTCTGCTCCTCATCCCATCCCACCTTCTCTGTTCATCCCTTGCCACCAATTCTCCTCGTCCCATGCACACGTGCTACCGACGGCCATCAACAGCCCACAGGGTCCGGGCTCATGTAGGTTGGTGGGAGAAGGGACAGCAGCATCACTCTGTGCATCAGGTGCATAGGCCGTCATTTGTATGCCGCAGAAGCATCAACCACACCAATCAGGCCTCTCTTTTCAGGACAGGCCATGTGTTGGAATTGCCTGCGGTTTAACCATCCACATCTTCAATGAAGCTTCCAGCTGCGGCTGCGAATGCTGCTGTGCCTGCAGCTGTGGCTGTGGCTATGGCTGTGGGTACTTTCCCAAGTGTGTAGACCATTACGGTAGGTTGTCAGATTACCGTAGCAAGTATGCAATAACTCTTTGCCATGTATACATGCTGCTACGAGCATCTATCCAGCAAGAGCAACCCTCACATGTGCAAGGATGCATTGCAAACATTCTGCAATCAATTACCAGTAGGAAGTACTTCAACATTATGGACAAATTTTGGCAACCAATGATTAACAATGAGTCAATCAATGCCTTACACTTTACATATACACAAAAGGAAAAAGTAATTAAACTGTACATAGTCATCATTGAAGATTCTCTCACGCCAACTAGGTACCACAGTCAGGGTGAAAGTGTTCTGAAACGCCTAGGAAGTTGGCCATGAAGTTGAGATGAAACATGTCTGATACAGAAGCATGGTTGTCTCTCCCCCGTGCTATGGTTGTCGCAATGGCACTGCCTGCAAAAGGTTAGTAAAATTACATTCTTCCAGTGGCAAAATGACATACCTAGAAAATATTACTGCCTTGAATACTGACTGGAATATCAACCTGGGCAGCTCTCAACCCGCCTTACAGAAACTGGTTCGGTAATGCACAAAACAAATGCAGCAGAAAAGTTTACATTACTGCGAGTTGATCTTTTTGTCAACACAAAAGTCACCAATGCCAACCAAAATGCATGCCAGCAGTTTGATATAAGTGGAGAGCGGTAAAGGGTCAGAAGCCGTCAGAGAGTTCGCTACAACTCGGGCCGTGTGATGGTTGTGATGGCACAGCCGCAACATGGCATTTAGTAGAATACTGACCTGCATACTGGCCTGAATACTGGCCAGAGTTGAGACCTGAGTAGTGACCTGAAGGCCAACCTGAATACCAACCTGCATACCAACCTGAATACTAACCTGCATACCAACCAACCTACATACCAACCTGCTGAACTACTCAACCTGCCACAAAAACTCGATTGACACTGTACAAAACAGAAGTAGCAATGTGGCTCACCTGATTGCATGCGAGAAGTTCAATAAAAGAGGAAAGAGGTCAGAAGCAGTTAGAGAGTTCATTTCAAGTCGCAGTCAACGAAAGGTGGACCCCCACACCCTCCACTGCTTTGCCTCACTGATGGAGGGGAGCGGGCAGGAGAGGATGATGGTAAGTGGGAGGGTGAGGGGCCTGGGAGGGGGAAGGTTGAGGGTGCAGGGGAAGGGTGAGGGGGCAGGGAGAGGGTTAGTGGTGAAAGATTGAAAACGGGGCACGGAGTGATGGTTCTGACATCATTTCAAGGCTTGAGCTGCAATATCGGTCACAGTGGGAGCATATAGAGTGACAAGCATGCTTCCTCACAGACATAATTTACAGGTGAAGTTGAAGAGAATGTCTGTTTGGCGAATGAATACAGCGCAAGGGAGATGCATACGAGTGATCAAGCAGTACATGGTAAGCTAAGATCTTGGCTGCTCTTCCTTCAGGCACGGAATTGACTTAGCATAGCACGGATCTGAATTGGCATAGCACGGATTTGACTTGGCATGGCACAGATTTGACTTGGCGTGGCACGGATTTGACTTGGAATGACACGGATTTGACTTGGCATGGCACGGATTTGACTTGGCATGACACGGATTTGACTTGGCATGGCATGGATTTGACTTGGCATGGCACGGATTTGACTTGGCACGGCACGGACATGACCTGATACCTGAATGCTAGCTTGATAAAGGGCTATTGAATGGATACCTAAAATACTGACTGAATACCTGAATGCTAGCTTGATAAAGGGCTATTGAATGGATACCTGAAAATACTGACTGAATACCTGAATGCTCTCTTAAAATCCTGAGCACTGACCTGATACTTGAATGCTGACCTGATACCCAAATGCTAACCTGATGTGATGCATGACTGCTGACTGGATATCTGAACACTGGCATGATACCTAAGTGCTGACAGTAACAGCTCGAGATTGAACTTACAAAACAGAGCTGGGGTAATAAAAATGATACAAGAATTAGTCCCATCTCCAAAACGCACCCGCCTTTTCCCATTTCTGTTCCCCATCTTCATGCTTCAGCCACGCGTCAGAAGTAGCCACATAGCTCACCTAAAGGCATGTTCCTACGGCCTCATATCAGAAAACCTCGTATCAAGAATGTACTTTTTTCCTGGTAAAACTAGCGAGAGGTTTTGGGTTTAGGGGAATTTTCCGTGTGAGCCTGATACGAGGTTCTCTTGATACGAGGTGTAGGAACACGCTCTAACCAGATTGATATTGCAATGTATTTTTTTGTCGTCTCAAATTTCACCGAAGCTCACCTCTTTGCGGAACAGTAGAGCAGAAAGCACTGAAAGTGGCTAAGGGTCAGATGCAGTCAGAAGACGGATTCGAAGAAAGGTTGCCCACCCCACCCTCCCCTGCTTTGCCTCACTGGCGGAGAGGGAGCAGGAGGGAGAGGATTGCGGGTAGGGAGGGGGGCATGGGGAGGGGGAAGGAAGGCGGAGAGGGAGGGGGAAGGGGCAGGGAGAGGGTGAGTGGTGAGGTGAGGGGTTTGGGCATAAAAATATTCATGCCAAGCAGCACATTCATGCATACAAGTGCCTCCTGCAGTGTAAACATCCATGCATACAAACAATGTGAGACATACTCATGCCGTACGCCCCTCAACTGCCCCAAACAACAAGATCAACATCCCACACAGCATATAAAGCTCCTTGGTTATTGCAAGTGGTGTCTTAAAGTTCGTGATGGATACACACTCATGATCATAATGG